ACTATACTATAAAAACTACATTTTATAGTTTCTTAAGTTTTAAGCTTATAAGAGTATATAAGGACCCCCTTTTTTATTAGCTTATAATTTTAGATTTATACTAGTTATTCGTAAAACTTATAATTCTATAAGTATTTTATTAGATTTAATATAATTTTTTATATTAGAAACTACAAAAACTACAAAACTACAAAACTACACTACAGTCAATGCTCTGGTCCCGCGACTCCCGCCAACCGAGTGCCACGTCCGACCTTAACCTTGACTGACGGTCCATGGCCGAGGGACAGACGCGAATCGCATTCTCTGGATATTAGCAGCATTACGAGCTGATTCAGGCATTTTTCTTACAACGGATTTATCAGCAGTCCCGTACTGCTGGTTGTACGGCGTTCTCGGGCATGGCCCCTGGAGGCTTCCTTTTGCCGACAATGTTGTACTTTGGATTCAGCCAACCGCGGACCCACCCCGCCCCATCACGACCGTCTCCAGAATTCGGATGCTCGGTTTTCTTGCCTTTGGCTCACGTTAGTTACCCAAGAGAGCCTTTCCTCGCCGTCGCCTTGAGCAATCGCTGTTTGCGGTGGCCTAGCATGGCCCTCAGACTCCTCTCCGCGCTCGTGTCATGGCAGAGCCCTCCGACTTGGTGCCCTCGGGGTGAAAACCTGGTTCCGATTAGAAATGCAGACAAGGTCGGTCCTACCCGGGCTTAATATATACTACTGCATCTCCCACCTCATGGTAATCTAGGACCATCACCGTTGGGTTTTCTCACTGTACAATCGACACGTCGAATTCTGTACCACGACGCCAGCATGACTGTCAAGTCCCTCGGAATTCGAGTCTCCATCGACAGGGGCGGCACCTTTACTGATGCCCACGCTGCCATTCCCCAACGGCAAGACATTATTCTTAAACTCCTATCAGTCGACCCAGCAAATTATCAAGATGCCCCCACAGAAGGCATTCGCCGAACCTTGGAGCTGGTCACGGGCCAGAAACTACCCCGAGGAGAGCCACTCGACCTCTTTCACTTCGAGTCCATCTGCATGGGCACCACCGTTGCTACCAATGCCTTATTAGAGCGCAAGGGCGAAAAGGTCGCCCTCATTACTACCAAGGGCTTCCGGGACCTCCTGGCTACTGGTAATCAGTCCCGGCCAAATATCTTTGATTTGTCAGTATCACGCCCAGAAGTCCTTTTCGACCAAGTGGTTGAGGTGGACGAGCGCGTAACCATGAAGGATCACACCGAGGATCCCCAGGCAGTCAAGACGATTGCAAATGGCGACGATGCTAATCTCGTCATCGCCATCACAGGGGAGACCATTCGTCTTCTCCAAGTACCAGATTTGGCTGTTGTTTGCTCAAATTTGCAACAGCTCTGGGATGACGGCTTCCGCTCCGTAGCCGTCGTCTTCATTTATTCATATGCGTTCCCTGACCATGAACTCTTGGTCGGTAGGCTGGCCCTCGAGATGGGATTCTTTGTCACGTTATCCTCCGAGGTACAGCCCATGATGAATGTTGTACCACGAGGTACTTCTGCCGTTGCAGACGCTTATCCTACGCCCATTATTAAGCAATACATCAATTCCATCTCTGCAAACTTTCGTGGGGGCTTCGGGTTGCTTTCACCGGTGTCGAGTTTATGCAGTCGGATGGTGGTCTTGCTGATTACCGCAAATTCAGCGGTCTCAAGGCTATTCTGTCTGGTCCGGCTGGTGGTGTGGTGGGCTATGCCCAGACTTCTTGGGACAACGAGAAGTGTCCTATTATCGGCTTCGACATGGGCGGTACTTCCACAGACGTCTCTCGATATGCTAGCGTGTACGACCACGTCTTTGAGACCACCACTGCCGGGATTTCCATTCAGTCCCCTCAGTTGGACATCCATACAGTTGCAGCGGGCGGCGGTTCCATCCTGACATGGAAGAATGGCCTTTTTAATGTCGGACCCGAGTCCGCCTCTGCGCATCCCGGACCTGCGTGTTACAGAAAAGGAGGACCCCTGACCATCACAGACGCAAACTTGTTCCTGGGCCGCCTCTTGCCCGACCACTTCCCAAAAATGTTCGGTCCCAAGGAGAACGAGCCCCTCAATCGAGAAATTGTCGAGTCCAAATTCGCCGACCTGACGAGCGATATCAACAAGGACAGAGAGCTCACTGGCCTGTCTCCGTTTTCACCGCAGGAAGTAGCCCTGTGTTTCCTAAAAGTCGCCAACGAAGGAATGGCTGCCAGCTGGCCCCATCCGTGCTCTCACAGAGGCTCGTGGCTACGACGCTGCAGATCACCGTCTTGCATGCTTTGGTGGTGCTGGAGGACAGCATGCTTGCTCAGTGGCGGAAGTCCTCGGAATCTCTCGCATCATTATTCATAAATACTCATCGATTCTGTCCGCCTATGGCATCTCGCTCGCTGATGTTGTACACGAAGTTCAGCGGCCAGCAGCCATTACATACGGAAAAGACACACAAGTTAGCATCCGGGCACAGTTGGAACTTCTCGCTGAACAAGCCAAACTTGAGCTTGTTAAGCAGGGCTTCTCACTCGACAACATCAAATCCAATGCCTACTTGAGCATGAGGTATCAAGGATCCAGCAGCTCTCTTATGGTCCTCAAAGGAGACGATTGGGATTTCCAGCGTGAGTTTGAAGAGTCTCACCGCCGAGGCTTCGGATTCCATTATCCCGAGAAACCTATCATCGTTGATGATTTCAGCATCAGAGCTATCGGCACCACTGGTTCCAAACAGGCCAATACGCCCTTCAGCCAACTCAAATCTGTTAATGCCTCATAGCGCTCTACCCCTACCTCAAGCGGAACCAACAGAGTCTTTTTTGAAGGTCTTGGTAGCCTAGATACGCGTGTATACGAACCAGACTCCAATCCCTTTCGGTTGATGCACGTATCACTGGGCCAGCCCTCATTATTGACAACACCCAGACTATCCTAGTCACTCCTGATTCTGTCGCCACCATCCTAGACAGCTACGTTGTCATTGACAGAAAGCTCCCAAAACAGGATCGATCCTCTGATGGTGTAGAAGAGGAATTCAGCCCCGTCCAACTCACCGTCTTCGGACATAGATTCATGTCCATTGCCGAGCAAATGGGCCGCAACCTTAGAAAGACAGCTGTGTCAACTAACATTAAAGAACGGCTGAACTTTTCTTGTGCAATATTCCGTCCCGATGGCGGCCTGGTAGCTAATGCGCCCCATGTACCGGTCCATTTGGGCTCTATGCAATTCGCGGTACAGTACCAGCATAAGCTATGGGAGGGAAAGCTGCAAGACGATGACGTCCTTGTTTCCAACCACCCTTCATGCGGAGGCACCCATCTTCCAGACATAACAGTCACTACACCCGTATTCGACGGCGACAGCCTTGCATTCTATGTTGCTTCCCGTGGTCACCACGCTGATATTGGCGGCATCCTACCTGGCTCCATGCCACCTACTTCCTCTGCCCTCTGGCAAGAGGGCGCCTCTATTGAATCCACGAAACTGGTCAGCGCACGTCGTTTTGATGAAGACGAAATCAAGAGACTATTGCTCGTTGAACCGGCCAAATACGAGGGGTGTTCTGGAACTCGCATACTGCGAGATAATCTGTCTGATCTCAAGGCCCAAATTGCTGCCAACGCAAAGGGCATCACACATATTAAGGCCCTGATCTCTGAATTCGACCTCGCCTCCGTCCACAGATATATGTACGCCATTCAGCATACCGCCGAAGACGCTGTTCGCGGGCTTCTCCGCGACACTCTGGCCAAATTTGGCCCCGAGCCTCTGACAGCAACCGACTACATGGACGATGGAACGCCTATCGTCCTCAAAATTACCATCGCAGCCTCTGGTTCCGCAACATTCGATTTCACCGGGACAGACCCTCGCGTCCTCGGCAACACCAACACCCCCAAAGCCATCACGCACTCCGCCATCATCTACTGTCTCCGCAGTCTAGTCAGATCCTCTATTCCCTTAAACCAAGGCTGCCTCGCCCCCATCGACATCATTATTCCTGAAGATTCAATCCTCAACCCAGGCGCTGGTCTAGCCGTAGTAGGGGGCAACGTCCTCACGTCACAACGTGTGACAGACGTTGTTCTCCGTGCGTTCCGCGCGTGTGCCGCATCCCAAGGATGCTGCAACAACCTCACCTTCGGGACGGGGGGCAAAGACCCCATTACAGGCGAACATAAAGAGGGATTTGGATACTATGAGACGATAGCAGGGGGTTTGGGAGCGGGTGCGGACTGGGTAGGACAGAGCGGAGTGCACACCCACATGACCAATACGCGGATTACAGACCCGGAAGTCTTTGAGAAGCGGTATTCTTGCATTTCGCGCCGCTTCCAATTAAGAGCAGGATCCGGTGGTCGTGGCAGAAATAAGGGCGATGATAGTACGGTGCGGGAGATTGAGTTCCGTGTGCCGGTGCGATGCTCGATTCCGAGCGAGCGCAGATCTCGTCGTCCATATGGCATGGACGGTGGTGAAGATAGCCAAGCGGGTCTGAACTCGGTCCATGTCATGGACCAAATGACTGGAAAGATGAGGATAGTTAACCTTGGCGCTAAGGCTACAAGCCTACAACCAAGCTGGGTCCCGGGGAGAGTGTTATTATCGAATCGCCGGGCGCTGGCGGTTGGGGTTGTGAGCAGCAGACGTAAGTTGTATAAAGCTGATGAAATTATTGGTTAAATATAGGTACATGGCGAGAACGAAATATTTGTTTGCATATTCTTGCGCAAGCTGTGAAATTCCTCCCAATTTTTCCACACCATGTGCGAGAGTCCCGAACCCCCTTATCCCCCCCGGCTAAAAACATTTCGATCACTTTTTTTTTTCTTTTTTTTTCTTTTCTTTTTCAAATCAAGCGTAATATCCCCTCTGAAAAGCAAAATTCGCGATTGAAATCAATAATGACAAACGGCGCTGTAGCTTTTTTGGAGCGAAGGACTGGTTCCACCAAACTCAACGGTAGGGTAGACTCATCAACTGACATTTCATAGTCTGACTCAGCAGCTCTTTGATGGCTGTAAACTGTAGCAGTGTGTGACTTGGTTAAAAAGTACACTTTCTGTATGACGATGATTTGACGCCAGAGTAATGCAGGCATGCCTCTAATCCCTGTCTTCGAGATGAACCAACTGGAGAACTCGACAATGCTTTATATGATTCAGTTTGACGATGATTCCCTGTTTTGATCAAAATATTTTGTTGCGGAACGGTCCAGTCCGCAGTGGGGCCGGTACCCGAGCGGGAGCTGCCAAAGTTCACCACCGATCGACACCGAGTAGACAACACGCTTGTGGCAAACGACACGAGCATGCAAGCTCCGGGGAATGTTTTAATAAACAATGCAGCGGAATACGCCTCTGTACTTTATCAGCTGCCCAACACCTCGTGCTGGCGATCGTTTCAGCCGCATATGCGGCTGCGCCACTACCTTCCCCTCACCTGAGAGATTAAAAGGCCGACTTCCTCCCTTCCGAGATGATACACACTCGCAACTGGACCGACACCGTCCCGCTCCTTTCTCCTCAGAAGACACCTTCGTGCGTGAAATATAGCTGCTGTTTGTTTTATTCAAACGATATTCTTGATTCTTGCTTTTGTTCTTCTTCTTTTTCTTTTTGTGAAGTTGCGGAAATATACAATGGTTGTAACCTGTCGTTGTTTGGCGAATAAGAAAAGTTGATGCTGAGATTGATACACGCGTCACCATAACTCGGATCATTTCAAGTCGAGTGATGATATACAATGCTTTGAGAAATGCACGGAAATCCCATTCGATGTGTCTTTATGAATGATGAAAAACCAGGGCGAGAAGCAATCCGAAGACGTTCCGGCCCGACCAAGGAAGGTGATGATACACTCATCATTGCAAAGACCATGACATCTTGGAAGTTATGCATTGTGCGCAAACGGTGACACCGGAAACTGTGCTCCCATACATGCAAAGTTGATGTCAGAGGAAGAGTTACCAGAAGAAGAATTATGTGCTGACCCAGCGGAATAGGTGATGTTATGAGAGTGTGTCTGGAAAGCTAGCCCCTGTACACCAGTTCCAGTAGCCGGCTGTTGACGCCGACTTGGTACACTCAGTTGCGCGATGGTAACCGTTACGGGTCGATTTGGGTCGTTAACCCAACGCAGGACTCCCTCCTTCGAACCGTATTGCGAGTGTGTGTGATGGTAAGTGATAGGACCGCTCTGAGTATCGGCACTAAAATGGCCGTTAGTACTCCGTATGTCGATGGGTTTTGGAAAAGAATAACTTTGGCGGTGGCATTCGCGGTTGAGAGGGCTTACCTGGTTGCAGAACCCTGGACCCCTTGGGTGGAAGAGGAATGCATGTCTGGCGATAACCGAGTCGTTGTGCGTACAACGATCAGCAAGTTTTCACTCCCCGCCTTGCTCGACGAAATGAGAGCCAAGAGAGATTTCCAACGGACAAGGCCGCAACGGTAGCGGAGCCGACGCAGTGGAGGAGAGGAAGAGCACGTTGCCGAAGTGGTCAAGGAGGGATGTATCCAAGAGCAGCCAGGCTTTGGTGCGAAGATGGGGGACCAAGCGGTGTCCAGCGGTAAGACGAGGAAGCCGTTGCTTTCGACAGAGACGATAAAGCCAATGCAGCAAGCGATCAAAAGGCATTCTTTGATTGAAGCGTGATATGTGTGGAGTGTGGCTCTAAAGATGGGAGAACTGCGTTGTGGAAACAGATGGGTATCATGAGAAGATAAATAGGATCCGGTTTGTGCCATGTATTGTTTCCCCAACAGGAGGAGCCTAGCATTATAGATACAACAGAGACCTTGGACCAAAGAGGAAGAGTGAACTGGGAGAGGCGTATGGATGGGGTGTACTGGAAAGGGTAGGGAGCGTGACGACAGCCCATGGTACACCGAAAGGACAAGGCGGCGAGACGAAGGCCATGAATGACCCACCCTTTGAAAAGAAGCTGTGCAAGTAGAAGTAGATTCCGGTGCACAAGCAGTAGCTCAATACTTGCCGTGCCGTATGACTTTTCCCTGGATCACCCCTCTGCCACCTCTGCCACTAGGCAAGGCGTAACAGCGGCTGGGAATTAACAATCGACTGTCCAAGTGCCTGGGATAGGATTGTTGGGAACCCCGGTTCGTCTCCTCGCCGAGTAGAGAGCGAAAGCTCGGAGGTATCACGCGCTGGCGGTTCATACATACTGCTGCTAAGACGTTGAATCAGTGAAGTACTTTGCAATTTCCAACAGGGCCACAGTATCAAAGTGACCCCATGGGCCCATTGATTATTGAGCGGTGAGGGGAGTCCTCATGATTGAGTCTAGACTTACTCGGTCGCAGTCATAGCCGGTGATGGCTGTGCTGCGTGTATTTCTCTATTTCTCCTACTTCAGAACTACCGGACGCCGTCATCAGTGTGTCCAAGCAACAACACGCAGTTCGGTGTCGCGAGTTGGAGCTACACTGATCACAGAAGCCCACTTCTAAACACACTGATCCCCGAGGAGTGGTGGGACCGGCGCCGGCGAGGGTAGCGTGCAGTTTGTTTCGCGACCATTTTGCTGTCCCCGGCTGGTGATCTCTTGTAAGACAAGTAGTGGCGGTAACAGCAACGAAGACATATTGCGCTGGCAAGGGTCAGGGGGCCACCGCCCCGGCCCTCGCTCAACAAGCCAACTCCCTATGGAGTACTCGTGGTCGATAGGGACATCCAGAACCCCGGCGCCGGTAGATTTGTGTCTTCGCCTGTCGTGCTCGCTTCTCTATTTCTGGAGCACGTCCGTAGAGAATTCTGCAAAAGCCATCCAAGTTAGGCCCTGATCCTATAAACCGCGACTGGCCGTCAGCCGGCTGGAAACACTGCATAACACGTATAATTATGGCGCTTACCTATTTTTAATAAGGGATTTACATTTAAAGTTATAGATAAGACCCATATGGGTCATATCATTTATAACCCCCTATTTATAATATACCGAGCTAGCAGGGACCGCGTAAATACCTGTAAAAGGCTTAGTTGCCAAGTTTTCAGTCAATTTTACCCTGAATTCAGAAGCTAAAAGTAATCCGCGAAAACGTGCTGAACACTATCATGCTGCGGATCAGCTAGACCTGGTAGAGTCGGTACGAGGGAAAACACCCACTATCGTCATGTATCTTCTTCAGCCGGCTGACGATCAACCGCGGTTTATAGGATCAGGGCCTTAGTAAGACCGTCAGTACTCACACCTCCACCACCCTTTTGCCAGGATTATAACATGCCTGTATCTATTGCCAACCTTTGATTGGCTTATGGAACTGTCACTCTCTGCCATGATCAGGTAGGCATGGTTCGCTCGATGCCTTGCGGCCGTTGCAGCCAGGGTTGCTACGCCCGCTGCAAAATGTTCCACTCAATCTCACACGAATTTTCTCCTAGGAGGCCATGGAATGAGACAGGAAGCAGCTGCTCAACCCCCCGTTCCCCCCTTCTGCCCGACTTCGCCCAGTTGCCAGGATCTTAACCTATCCCAGATTCCCAACTCGATTCAGAGTGTGATTCCCAGAATTGGGCTGGTCAAAAGATTGACCCCAATTTCGGCTTTTGCTATTGGGGCGACCGCCCCACGTCGATTTCAAGCCCACACCCCAAGCCGCCACAACCCTCCCATACGTTTTCACATACAAGTTTACAACGCCCTGGCAACGCAGCGATTATCGCGAAAACGGCTGCGCACAACGAAAAAAAAAAACAGGCTGCAGCCGCACCAGGAAGCCTTCTTCAAACAACATAGTAACATCGCTAAAAGCTGTTATTTTAAGCCGCTTTTTCATCTAAAACATCATTAAAATGAATACCGAACTTATTGAGCTTTTCAACGATAATTACAATGCTTATAATAACGAAATTAATAACCCCTTTGCCTCGCAATTTAATGAGCCCGCCGAAGATAAATCTATTGACCGCCCGATTCCTGGAGTGCCTCCACCGCAAACCTATTGTTACGAACAACACTGCATGAGACACGGGACGAGGCCGCACCAACTTATTACAACACCGCTACCCCTACTTGGCTACCTGACTTCCAGTTCTCCTTACAGAAGTACCTCCGTAATAAGATCACCGAGGTAGAGAAGCAGAATCGATAGCTTCTCGACCGACAGGACGATCTTTACGAAAAACTTAAAGCACGAGAAGAGAAACTTGTAGCAATTCAAAATCATACACCTGCATCCTCTATTAGCACTGATAACATGCCGAAATTCCCCAAGCTAGAACCATATAATGGTTATAAAGGTGATGTGAGAAAGCAATGGAATGGTGGGAGCCAACCCTCCGCGCACATCTTAAGCACGGCGCCGAAGCCGGAATGGAACTTGTCCACATCTTCTCTGATTACGAAACCTTTAAAGAAAGACTACTCGCTGTATTCGGGAGCCCTAATGAGCACAAAGAAGCTACACGATAACTCACTCGACTTAAGCAGACCGGATCTGTAGCTCATTACGCTAGGGAACTCAAACATATAGCAGCAAAGCTTAATTGGAACACCGAACCAAAAATGAAAATCTTCTATCAAGGACTTAAAGAAGAAGCGAAGGATGACATTTATCGAGAAGATCGTTTTAAATTGTTTAACTACTTCGTCGAGATGGTCATTAAGGCGGACAACCGTCTGTATAAACGACGTCAAGAGAAAGGCAGTAAAAATTATTGACCCTACGCTGAGTTCAATAAGCCTAATAGCAGCAAACCACGATGAACCTCTACCGCGTATGGATACCATGCTGGACCTATGGAACTTTGAACTTAACGCCCCGAATAAAGAAAAGGGAAAGACTTGTTATAACTGTGGCAAGACTGGACATTTTGCGAACAAGTGTAGAGCCCCAAAGAAGCCATGGAAGCTAATTCCTGAAGGCAGGGAACTCCATGCCGCAAATCGAGAAAACTTGCCCACACGAAACCTTAGTCTGGCAAGCAACGAAGCAAATCACACGTCAGCAAACAACACCAGTTCGGATGAAGATTGGGAATTCGGAACCCAACCAGTACCCGATGACTTTTGGAAACACTGGACACCATCACCAAAGACTCCGACGGTACGAGTCTGCGCTTGCAGCCAAATCGGGTACGTTATAGTTATTTGTGTGTGTTTTCTCTAAGGTTTACCTTACGGAGGACGCGATAGTGGTTTACAGTCAATTGGAAGCATTCAATCAAGCTATTACGCTTGATTGGATGCTAGGACCGTTCTTCTACAGGACGGAACGGCCGAGTTACGAGGATTGCACGAACGCTGTTACGCGGTATCGTGTAAAGGGGCACAGGTGTGTGCGGGTGTGTCGTCTTTGGGCTAATAAACTACGAGCCATCATTACCAGATGGAATGAGAATCCATCCTATGTTTCATATATCGCTACTGGAGAAAGCACTAGATAAATCTATAATCGCTATAAACATCATAACGAAAGATACCAACGAATACGAAGTCAAACGGATACTTAAAGCACGAGGGACCACAAAGAATCGTCATTATCTCATTAAATGGAAGGGATATCTTAACTCCGAAAACACCCGGGAACCAGAAACAAATCTCACGAACTGCTCGACGTTACTTGAATAGTTTCATTCCCAAGGAACGCATCCCAATCAATCCCATAAGCACCGTCCAACGACTTGATATTAAACTCAGCATCCAGGGAACGAACCAAAGCAGGATCCAGATCCTTGGAAGGAGTTGGAAGGATACCAGTATCCTTTTAAAGCTGTTCCGCTTCCTCACGTCCCACACGTTCTTACTCTTTGACGTTGTTGATACCACGCGCAACCGCACGAATCATTTCCTTAAACCACAATTTCTTTTATTTTCGCAGGCGCTCTATCCTTGCATCTATTAGACGATCTTCCTCTTCAGCGGACTCAAGTTCCCTTTTAAAACGCATATGATGATCGGCTTTCCGACGAAGCTCGGTTGGCGAAATGCCCTGCACATCGCAATGGGACTTGTGATCCATTACGCACTGAGCGTAATGAGAGGGATCAGAGGAGGACAGTCGACAAGAGGCAATACCCTTCTCCTTGTAGTAGGAATAAGGAGCCTTCTCCATGATCTTGGGATTGGAAAGAATTGAATATAATAAAGCCTCACACTGCTTGGACTTCTGAGAACGCGTCCTCGACCTTTGCTTGACGACACGATTAGCAGGCATGATGGCACATGATGATGAAGGAGGAGAAATTGCCTAAACCTCAGCCGGCCTGTTTCGATGGCCTTGAGGATAAGACTAATAGAGGAGGGGCATAATGTTACGAACAACACTGCATGAGACACGGGACGAGGCCGCACCAGCCAAGGTAGGCACGAGTCGGAGGTAATAGTAAAAGTAGTACTACGTGGAAGCTCAGAGCCCTGAGTTCTTCGTAGAGTTAGAGAGATTGTTCTATCTGCTAGCTCAGACTGCGAAACTCCTTCTCGTAAACCAAGAACTTTGGGAGCCTATGTTAATGTCGCGGTTTTGGTGTTAGGGCCACCGACTATTCGCATAAGTTTAGACAAGAGATCTGCCTTATCATGTAGCGTCACAAATAGTGGTTTGAACACGGACGTCTCAGTCAGCAAGAACCTCGCAAGTCTTGAGCTCAAGTCTATTTCGGTCCATTGGTTCCACCTGTGCGCGGCAATGTGCTTTGCATCGACGGACACAATTACCATGGGGGGTCCCTGTTGGCACATGTTCCATTTCCTTCAATTCCCGCCACTAAACGTCACTTGACACATCATGAAGGCCAAACACGGCACAAGTACGTCGACGTAATGCGTAGAGTCGTCAGCGAGCATGGCGGCCCACGTGCAGAAGGAAAGGGGTGTCTCAAGCGTGTTCCGGGCCATTATTGACATCTGATGGCGTGGTTTACTTCTTTTCTATCAGCCCGCTATTTCGGTTTGCATTTGGTATTAGAAAATACTCCTCCGTAGCGGAACTCGAATGTCAGCCTTGGGAAGCCGACCACAACAATGTTCCTTTTGGATTTCTTTCTTTTTCTTCCCCTGTCTTTTGCCCTTGGGCAGGGTCCCCGACCAGCCACACCTCCTGGCGTGCTCATAGTTGGTCAAAATCTCAAATGAGCCAGGGTACCTGCGGTGGGCACGTTGTCGGCTATGAAAAAAGAACCGATATGTCGTGATGAGCATCTGGAGGCCTTTACGGATATCTGGGGTGTGCATGTGCAGGGAGTCGTAGAGTTTGACATGGTGCAAGGAGTACAGAGTTCGTGGGTTATTGTACGTGACTGGTCTGCGCAATTTTGACACTGTCCCACTTTTTATAGAGGCAAGACGGAAGGTACGACGGACGGGACGAAGAAGTAGAAGACATTTCTAACATTTGAAAGCTCGACAGCTCTGGAGCTCCAGTCTTGGGGCCCTCCTACAGTCTGCGGCAGAGTACATTTGCCCTATTGAGAATACACTAAAATATTGAACCATAGTATATTATAGTATAGCGCGATAACTACGGAGTACCTAGATACCTATCTGGTTGAAGGCCATTGACTTTTTTGTCGCCCACTTACTTACCACTGTACAAGACATTATCCATCACCCCTCCCTGCACAAAATTTGAAGATGGGGGTGGGCCCGACTCGCTTCATCCGTCCATCTTTGTCATTCTTCCCATTCTTTCTTTTCCATCCTATCCATTCCACCCTGTCCACCCTCTCGACTTGGCGACTCGCCCTCAACCTCGAGCCTGTGTGGCGACGGAGAAGATGATGATGTGGCTGTCTATAGCAGAAATAGCAGACAGGGTTAGCGACACTACCGATAGATCTGACGCCGAGTCGCCGACACCCCGCCCGTCCTCGTCTCACTCTCACACACACTATCCTGGCTCGTTGTGACATGCCCCAGGCCAGGGTGGTTTGCTCCCCAGCGTCGGTCACTCATCGATGATCACTTTATCCCCCGCGGCAATCTCCATTGTACCAAGTATGGTTCTAACGTCCGGAGGAAAGTTGACGGAGAAGGAGGATCCTCCCGACGAGTGTCAAAGCATAGGGCTGTAGGTCGGATGGGGAGATCCAAACCATGCCCGACCTAACCACGGTAGTTGCACGACTGCAATAGCCAGATTTGATGGTGCACCCCGTGGCTATTGCATCATGCCAAACACTGGCAACGTCGTTCTACCAAGACCAAGCTGTGGTCCGTATATGCGAGGCTGCAAGATGCAGTAGCGGGCAGCGCGGATAAGGCGCACGGGGAACCGGCAACGCGTGAACTGTGAAAACGCTGCACTGCGCATGATGATGTTTTATCCCAGGTTCAAGTCACTGACTTTCGTTCCTTGATCTGCACTCATACAGCCTTATTCCCGTCCCCGCTGATCCGTTTCAATCAGTATATTTTCTGTCTTGCTCCATGTTGGCCCGTGGATTTCCACCTGTTGATGTGATCCCATGACCCGTCATGAACCATCGATTGGGAAGGACCATGACCAAAAGAAAATTAAAAAAAAAAAAAAAAAAAAAAAAAAAAAAAAAAAAAAAAAAAAAAAAAAAAAAAAAAAAAAAAACTATTTTGTCACTTGTCAATTCGAAATGCCCGTACGTCTGGCTGTGCCTCAACCTCTTCTTGCATCAACATCAACACATTAACCCCTACACAACACGTGTTTCCCAACTGTAAGGCACCTGGATAGTTACACGCCTACCAAAGTCCCTCCAACTCCCCGCAAATCACAATCGCACAGTCGCCGAGGGTGCCTTGGCCAAGTGGAGGTGGTTGCAGCAGGGAGAGAAGGCCCCAAAAAAAAAAAAAAAAAAAAAAAAAAAAAAAAAAAAAAAAACTATTTTGTCACTTGTCAATTCGAAATGCCCGTACGTCTGGCTGTGCCTCAACCTCTTCTTGCATCAACATCAACACATTAACCCCTACACAACACGTGTTTCCCAACTGTAAGGCACCTGGATAGTTACACGCCTACCAAAGTCCCTCCAACTCCCCGCAAATCACAATCGCACAGTCGCCGAGGGTGCCTTGGCCAAGTGGAGGTGGTTGCAGCAGGGTGCGGGCCTTGTCAAGTTCGTGCATGGGAAACATCTGCATTCAATGTTGAATCAATTCGACACTTGATTGATGAAGGCGCCGAGAACAATTATTGGCTACACCCCCTGGACTGACGCGTCGCATCTACGAGACAATCTTTTGAGAGACGGAAAAAAACTGGCTGCAGCAAATCTGAGGCTGATGGCGATTATCTTTCTAGTTGCCTTGCATCATTCGACACTAATCAAGTTTACCCATGCAGAATAAATTTGGTAAGGCGGAAGGGCACAAGAAGAAAAATTTTCCCTCTTCCCCTTCTTCACATTGGCAGTAGGACAAGACCAATAAGCTACGAAAGCTGGACCCCCGAATTCAATCCGTGGCTGAGATAAGGAACCATTCCAAGGTGATGCTGTCTCGGCCACTCCCCGAAGCTGAATGGCAGGCCTTTTTTACGCAACCACGGCCAGCGCTGAGCTTGCAACTAGACGCCGATCAACCAACCAGCGATTCACCCATAGTTCATCATACATTGGATGTTGCACTTGAATATGTAACAAGCCAGGCAAAGTCTCGACGTTGCCATCACAAGCCAATCGAGGCGGTTGTGCTGGTCGCTCAAGACGACGACGGGGTTCAGAGGCTCAACTCTCAAAACTCCATGTTGTCAAAGTTTCAGAAACAGCCGGCCGTCAAGACAAATTGACCTCCAAGGCGCCTTCACCGGCCGTACAGCATCTATTATCAATTAATCGAGCCCGGCCGGTTCTCCACACATCTCTCTCTGTCTTGGCGGCCTTGATTCGCCCACTGTGCCAACATTTACATTGAAAATCACGCTTGTCAGAACATTATAATCTGACCTTGCCGCCAAGACAATGACAGCTGGCATGGCTGATCCAAATGTAAAACACTGCACTCATTGCGTACGAGGCTGTTGAAAATCTGCGATATCCTCCTCACTGCATGTCTGTCATCCATCCATGCTTAAGAACCTGTTTCAAAGCGAAACATAGTATTTTAACCTTGCCAAGTACTCCCCGTAATTGTACATGTCATCTCATTCGCTCAGCAGCAATGCCAATAAAACTCGCTATGCTATGACCAATCCACAAAACGAACATGCAAACCACCAAAAAAAATTATAACTGGAGACACAAAAAAACAAAGGCCCTCCGACGACTCCTGGATGCGTCACTGTAACCTGTTATTTCAAAAGATCCAATTGAGTATCCTCCTCGTCTTGGACTGCCACCCTTTCTCCGTCTCCGATTCCGCCTCGTCAGCTGTGTGCACATCGGTGACGAGATCCATGTCGTCCAAATTAACCCATTTAGTCTTCTTGACCAGTTTCCAGGCCAGGTACATGACCAACATGACGGGCAGTTCAACG